ACAGAAAATGGGCAGACTCAGCCTGTCTTGGATTCCATATGTATCAGGCACTGGCCCCCAACAGGACAAGAAGAACAGGACTGAACCAGAGAAACCAAGGACAAGGAACTTGCAAGACCTCCAGGTCCTGCCATGCCAGCTCACAGAGAACTTGCTGAGCACAATGGGTGCTGTCTTCACGTGTTCCTACTCCAAAGCCACCTGCAACACAAGTAGAATGGACTTGAGCTCACTTTGCTCCTTCCCATACCTCCAGACACCCAACTACACATCATGGTCACCCCAAATCCTTGCTACACTGCTACCTCTCTTCCAGCTGCAAAGCCTGAAAGCCCAAAGGGCAGAGTTTCCTTAATTAATCATCAGGCAGATCTTTTTTTTTACTTTTCTCTGTCTCTTTTTCCATTTCTGAGTTGTGATGTTTCCTGCCAACTTTCTGCTTGGCATGTATTTCTACAACAGAACCATATAACTTCTGTAAACAGATACTTACACTGGAAAGCCTGACACACCCTATATGGAGCCTGTGAGTGGCAGAACCATAATCAAAAGACAGTCAAGACACTGAGCTGTGCTAGTAGCATTCAATTAGGCTGTGAGCAAAGCAGCCTCAAGAGAAGAAAGTAAATGGGAACTCTATAAACGCCCTTGCAGAGAACCCCCCCAGGCTCTTTTCATCACTCAGAGGCATTTAAGTTTGTTCTCTTTAGGGTAACCCTAGTTCAGGCGAGTTATTCCAATATAGCTGGTATGTTCAGAACCCCTTTTAAAATAAAAATTCACGGAAATGGCCAACTGCCTTGATTTCCTGATATGAAACTGCGTCCAAAGCCTATGGGACAAAAAAGCCAGCAGTCATATGATACAAGTCTGAGCTCTGCCTGTCATTAACAGGGGTGGGTTTTTCAGGGTAAAATTCTCCTGAGCCAAATAACAGGAGAGTGATAAATAAAGCTTGTCAACTGCCCTTTCTGACTCACTCTCTCCTGCTCAAGGATGACTCACTGTCCTGTGTGAAAGGCTGCCAGGTCTTGCTTACATGCTGAAACAAGCATGGGTTCTCTGTGTTAGAAACACATTACTTCAGAAGAAGCAGACACCCCTGAGAAGGCAGCCCTGGAAAAGACTCTGCTGACTGAAGGATCTGATCTTCAAGGTATTTCTCAATCTTTTCTGAAAAGTTCAAGGTTGTTGTTAGATTGCCACAGAAAACTTAGATCCAAAGCCATGGCCGAGGTTTTGGCTGGTGATCACAGTGTTTCAAACCATGGGCTTACTAGGACCATTAGGTTTTATCCAGGTGACTCCTGAGGAGTGAGCCAAACAGCACGTTCTAGGTGCAGACAGAAGTAACTGAGACCATGTCTGGTTTGGAGCTGCCTTTTGTCCAAGGAAAATGATGTGACAAAAGCAGTCACTTGTTGCTCGCTATTTCACTGTGAGAAAGCAGTCCCATGGGGCTAGTCCCTCAAGGAGCCTGTGAGTCCGTAGAAGGGCAAACAGAACGTGCTGACCATCATCTCACAGTCTGAGTAGCTCACTGACTGTTTCTGAGCAGCACCAGTAGCTGCTCGGAGCTTCCTCTCCTCTGCAGTACCACAGACCTTGCAGGTAAGTGGCCGTGCACAGAAAGCTTGTTTGCACCCAGGGGCTTTGCTGCCTACGTGAGTGTGTGCTCCACCCCTTGGGTCCTCTCCTGTCATCCCGGGCCCACCACCAGCCAAGTGTGCAACTCTGTGAAATCTCTGCCCCGGGCACCAATAACAAACCCCAGTTATTAGCACATACCACAGTCTGCACTGCCCTGCAGCACTGCTGTGGCAAAGGACACCTTGCCCTCGTACTCTTTCCAAGGCTCCACGTGTGTCTGTTGCCTTGCTGTGGCAAAGCAAGGTGCTTTTGCAAGGACAAGGACAAGGACAAGGGAGGGCACTGGGATGTCAGTCCACAGATCCCAGAGGGCCTTGTGATGCAGCTAGAGAGACAAAGCTGCACCCATCCTTTAGCACACGGAGGACTCCTAATGCAGGAATTGACAGCCTTCGACCAAGACCAAGAGCAGGGACATGTGCTGTAGCCTCCCTCAGCTCCAGGTATTAGCCAACATCTTGCTGCATCATGTAGGGAAACCATGCTGCTGCAGGGCACTGATATCACAGCTGTTTCTTGCTCCATCCAGGAGTCACACACGCAGCTGGGAAGGACAGCTGCATGCGCTTTGACCCAGCAGGGTCTCAGAAAACTTGCAAATAAAGCACCACCTTAAGATGTCATCACCGTTTTTCAGATCACATGATCGCTAACCAGTGTGCCCAAAATGAATGTATAACCTAGAAATGTTAATTTTGAAAAGAATCGCAGACTGGTTTGGGTTGGAAGGGACCTTAAAGTTCCAACTCCCCTGCCACGGGCAGGGACACCTTCCACTAGAACAGATTGCTCAGGGAATAGAGAGTATACCATTCCACATCACGTATATGAGGAAGATTTTGCAGCCTCACACAGAGTTCTAAATCTATCTTTTACATTTATTCTCCTCTGGGAGAAAGTATGTGTTTTCCATAGAATTCCTAAGAGGTTATATTTAAATATTTTTGCTGTGCGCCAGAACGGATGTCTAATGAAAAGCTTGAAAGAGAAGCTGCAGGCCACAACAGCCTCATCCAATGGTAAAAGGACTCGCTTGACACATGGAAAACAAGCCTAGGCCACAATGCTACTTAGGCATTAATATCCCATGTGCCAGTCTAAGTGAGGAGACTAAGTAATAGCTGTGAACCTGCACTTCAAGTGTCTGTCTCAACAAGGCAGTGCAGGGCCATCCCACGGAAGTGATGCAGTCCCTGCACTATTGGTTACTCCAGAAGAAGTAAATTTTTCATCACAATTGTGCTGCAAATTTTCACTCTTCTAAAAACTGAACCACAAGGGTAGAAAAATCTGTATTATTCTTATCCAGCATTGATATATTTTGCTGAAAAACTTCCAAATTTGCACTAAGATGTCAAATTTCTCCTCTTAGCGATGACAAAATATTACCTTTCTGGTTTTCTTCTACTGTTTAATCATCCATTATTTTTTCATTGATTCTTATTGGCTATGACCAAGTCAGGATTTCATCCTAAATTTTCCCCGCTAAATTTTCCATGCTAATATTCCAATGTTTACCAGGTACAAATAATTTTATAAGCAAAATTATATCATTTCCTGCCACGAATTTGTTTGTTTCAAGATACTAACATCCCAAGTGCATATTTTAAGTATGAATTGCTAAGATTTGCTTTTGCAGTCATGTAAAATCAATGATAAAAATAAATATGTAAATATAATTAAAATATAATATGAAATGAAGACTTGGTAGATATTTTAAATAACAGCATTTCTCTTTGCTATACTTATTTCACATTGAGTCATAGTTAAGGCTAACTAGATCTGAGAACAAAATGAGAGATGATGAAAGTAAAAAAAATAGAACACAATATATTAGAGATTCCAGATTAGTTTCCTTTGAAAGCAAAATTTCTGCAACTTTTCAACTGTAATAAGTTATGTCTCCTGGTGGCTTTCCTAACCCTTTAGAAAAAGAAGGTTGACATTGAAATCAATAATCATATTCATCTGCAGGTGTCAAAGCACCTCCCAAAATAAGTCAGGAAAATAATCTCAGAAATGGTGTGATTAAGGCATTAAGATGATGAACCAGGAATTACAGGCTAGATCTCCAACTACCCAGTCCAGGCCTTTGTGTGACAGAGTCCCCAACCTCTGACAAATGAGTTGGACATCTTAAGCTGCAATTTCAAAGTGATTTACTTAGCAAAGTGAAACCATGGCACTCAACACAGACACCACTTCTGCGAGGTGCTCTGATTACAGTCACCTTCTGCCACTGGTCTTGAGAGCACAGTGCTCTGACCACTCAGCCTTGTTTTGGGGGCTTCTCAGAAGGTGGCAAACTGAAGTCATTTGTCAGGATAGTGAAACCACTCCTTATTCATCCTTGTTCTTGTTCTTCCCCCTCCATCATCCCGTCAGGCATGCTCATCCAGGGTTTACATCATGTTAATCTGCTTGACACAATAAAGCAAAAAAAAACAGGAGAGAGGGGTGCAGATTTGTGATGTTTCTTAGGCAAACCAGCAAGGAACCTTGCCCCCTTTGGCAGAGAACAGCTCTCCCCCAGGGAAAACCAAACAGCCGTGCTTGAAGCCTCGGCACCTTGCACACTACGTCGTGTTCCTGCCTGGAGTGGGCACGCACACAGCATGGATTGCAGACATCCCAGTGAAGCTCCCTGTGGAGTTTGGCCCTTTTGCATGTGAATTACATGACTCTGTGCATAATGTATAAAGACAAGATGCTTGGGATGCACCTGATGATTCCAAAGCATGCACAAAATAATGACATGTGCGTTTGTAGCAAATTTCACGCTCTCAGTTAATACCAGACTCATTGGTTGTGTGTTGCAGATATGTCCAAAGATTTTGCATGTGCAGTGCTGTAGCATTCACAAGATTGCCAGAACTCCTAAGATCCAGACAAATGAAGGCAATTCTTAAATTCTCATTTCCAGGCAAAAGAAAAGTTACGAGGGTAAGTCTTAAAGGCAGCTTTCCATACACTTCAACAGAGCAAAACTGATTTACAGTGGTGATGTTTACATGAGTTATTACATTTAAAAGTACTGCAGTGATATTGCTGTTATTCATGACTGGATGGGAGATGGAATTACTCTTGTATGGCATACCCAGTCTTGAAAGATTTTGGGTTTATTTATCATGAATCAAAAGCAAATGTTCTATTTCTATTACAACAAAAATTACATTTTTAAAGTACAATGTAGTAACAAAATTACTTATTTTGGAATAAAATATATTGGCAGTGTCTGATCAGAACACTATTAAAAACTAAAAGTCAAGAATAAGAAGCTGGAATGATTCATGAGCAGGGAAATAAATCCCATTTTGATAAGCTTTGATTAATTTCTGCTCAAATTTATGTTAATGCCTATTTCCTTTCAACAGAAAACTTAGGATTTTTAACAAAGCACTATGATGGACAGTAGCTGTTTTGCCCTGACAGCAGTATTTCTGGGAGAGGTCTGGAGCACTGTCCTTTGGGCAGGGGAGTGGGGTGCTGAGCACTGGTGAGCGATGGTGAACCATGCTGTTTATAAAAGGATGCTTGGCATGGACTTTCCTTCAAAGAAAACAAATGCAGGTGTTGCCTCAGAGTATTTGGACATGTTGGGTTCCCCAAGGACTCACCAGGGTGTCAGATGTGTGCCTCAGGCAATCGCACTCAGTCTGGTCTCCTGCTTTCTGCAAGTCATCATTGTTCCTGTCTCTTAGAGCAGGATCAAACACGTCAGAGCAAAGGAGCCTGCTGATTTCTTCCCAAATCACTTGGAAGCGCTTCCATCTGAACACAAGCCAAGCCACATAGCTGCTGAAGATGTAGAAGCCTTAAACTGAAAATGCAGATCCCTTTTTCACTGAGAAAAAGGCCCAGAGTCCCACTGCATGGAATCACAGAACCACAGAATATGCTGAATTGAAGGGACCCACAAGGATCATCGAGTCCAAGCCCTGGCCCTGCACAGGACCATCCCCAAGAATCACACCATGTGCCTGAGAGCATTGTCCAAACGCTTCGTGAACTCTGTCAGGCTTGGTGCTGTGACCACTTCCCTGGGGAGCCTGTTCAGTGCCCAACCACCCTCTGGGTGAAGAACCTTTTCCTGGTATCCAACCTAAACCTCCTCTGACACAGGTTCATGCCATTTCCTTGGGTCCTATCACTGTCATCAGAGTGAAGAGATCAGTGTCTGCCCCTCCACTTCCCCTCATGAGGATGTTGAAGACTACAATATCTCTCCTCAGTCTCAGAGTGCAGGATGACATGACTCCACTAAAATGCCAGTAACTATTTGACATCAAACTTTACCATGCATGCAGCAGTGAAGACTTGAAAGGACTGGTTTTTTAAGGGTATGCAGACAGATGAGGCTAGAAACAGAGTGAGCTCAGGTGGATTTTATCTTGCTCTGATGAGTTTGGCTTAGTCTTGGCTAGTGTAACCTGGGACCACCACCCAGTTTCCCTCAATAATCAAGGGAAAGAGACTGATGGGGTGAGTCACTTTGTGGGGTTCCTATCACACACATCTATTTCAATAGGCAATAATTCACCCTCTGACTGAGCTTCTTTACTCCACAGTGGCTGTTGAGGAAGCTGAAGGGCATGGTCTGACTGGACAGATAGTGTTTGGGCACCTGCAGGTGGACAAGGTGATCCCCACCCTGAATTACAGTGTTATTATCACAGAAAATATCACTACCAAATACAAACTCATTGCATCTCACCTCCGCATGTCTGCTTGCAGATTAAAAAAACAAAACCTAGTTTTTCACTCCTATTTAACATTTGTTATCCCTGGCATAACCTGAATCAACTCCCAATAAATCCAACCTCTACCAAGTCTGTTCTTGAAAAGATGGCATTGCTGGGTCTGCTGGGTCTCCTTGGGATTGAATCCACAGTTCCCCTTTTTCAAGGAAAAGCTTCCCAGTTTATGAAGTACAAAGTATATTCTGGGCCCAGATGTTCTGCATTAATCTACTGAAGCCCTGCTGCACAGAGAGTCTCATAAATAGCTGACAGGGCAGTATGTGGCAGGCCAGGAGGTTACTGGCATCTAGAAATGTCACCAAGAGCAATGGAAATGAAAGACTGTACATTTTCTGACCTACAGAGATGAAACTATGAGGCCATGATGAGAAGGAATATACAGAGCAGACGGCTCAGAGGGACCTAAGGCTGTGGTGGGAACTGCCTGCGGTCCAAGAGCCACCAAGGGACTGAAACTCCCCAGCTTGGGGCTTCAAGGGGAAAAGGTTTGGGCTGAACGGCAAAGAGATGGGATTTTATAAGTACACCTAGACCCTGGAGGTTAAATTTTATCCTAGGTGCTCTGCCCTACAGGTAAACTACAGGGGGAACCAAAAAGGAAAGAAGCATTTGGATGTGCAAGGCAGGGACACACTCTGGGCTGACACTCAGTCACACTATCCATTTATCTTTGTGTCTTTCTCTCCTCAAAGAAGTTCCAATCTTTCTGCAACGATGTTTTTCTCCTAAGGCAGTGAACAAGAGCACAAAATTAACAGCAGCAGTCGTCCTTTCAGTTCTCTGAACAGAGCATTGAGTATGATTCATGAGGCTATGCCAAGCTGGCATTTCACCAGGGCAATAAAGTTGTTGCTGGTAGATCCTCATTACCAGCACGCAGAGACCTACTGTCCAAGAGAAAGACAAGACCTCTGCATTGCCTCAGAAGGAGAAAATGCAAAATATTGTGTGGCTCAGTTAATTGACTCTGACAGAGAACAAAGCTGGATGTGATGAGCGAGCGAGGCTCCCCTGCTATGCTATCTAGACTGAGCGCTCTGCATGGGCCTCTCAAAAGTGGTCAGTGCTGATGTAACCCAGTTCCCACTGAAGTCAACAAAAAACTCTTCCTGACATCACTGGAAGAGCAACAAGCAGAGTTACTGGGGGCAGAAAGCCAGGCCAAGGCTGAGACAATAAACTTGAAAACCACGCAGGAGGTGCCTGATGTATCTCCAAGAAAAGATGTAAAACATGACCAAGAACGACAAAGGGCCTTTGTTAAAGAAGAAGCAATTTGCCCAGTGGAAGCTTGAGAGGTGCTCTCACCCCCCACTTGAGCCCGGGGTTGTCACACAAAGCCAAATGACAGTCTGTCATGGAAGCAGCCATTAAGCAGAGGGTGCTGCAAACATTCCAGCAGCCACTCAGTTCTCCTGGAGATGGCACAACTCACCCTCATGGAAATGCAAGCACATTTTCCCTGCTAGCCTACAGATCCCCACCGATCTGGCTCAGTCCTGCCAGACATACAGGAAACCCTCTCTCCACATCAACTCACAACTCCTGACATGTCCCTCATCTTCCTGATAATATCAAGTGTTCCACACACTGAGGGCATCCCCAGCTGCCATCACCCCAGAAACATCAATGCAGAGCGGTCCATGAAGATAATACCTTTCAGCCCTATAGCTTTATTTACTATCTTTAGACTTTCATTTACTGATTTGTTTGATCAAGAAGACCACATTATCTCCCTACCTGGCTCCCACCAACCATAATCCTGCTGACACTTCACATGTTGTGCAAGGGTAGAGAAGCTTGACTCTGCACACACAGCATGGCCCTTTGCCAAAGAGAACTCCCAGAACACCTCTGATTATTTGGGTTCTTTGAGGATTCTGGTAAATCACAGCATTCTGTGTTCAGACTATCAGATTGGAGAAACCTAAAGAGACCCCAAGTCCTTAAACCTAAATGTGAAACCCAGCTTCACCTTTAACAATGTACAGCTCCTGCAGTGTCTTGGAACTAAGACTCTGGTTTAGCAGAAAAACATATGTAAAAGCCAGGAATAGAAAATAACACTAATAATTAGAGTCAAATAAGGCCAAGGGTCTTCACTCTTCTTTCTCCCAGTGCTTTCTGCTCTGAGGTGAGGTACTAAGCCAAAAGGCCTGACTGAAGTTAAGTTTCCTAAAATAAGTATTGAACTAGGAGGCACCTCCCATGTCTAGGGCACAGTTGCTAATTGGGAAAATACAGAAAGGGTCAGGAAAACATCCTGAAGCAACAAGCTTCAGGATGGGACTTGTAAGAAATTTGAAAGAGTGAGCAAAAAGCATCATGCCTTCTAGTAACACAGTAATGCTGGTTACGGTATTGATACAGCAATACTGATTTCTCTGAGCTGTGAAGGGGATGGGATGAGTTCATGCACTAAACAGGAGAACAGCACAGCCAAAAGCAGCCAGGGCAGTAAGTGTGGGGTTTGGGTGCAAGGTGATAATGGCTTCAGAGGTCTGCAAGAACTACTGTTGTGCACAGGGGCACGTGGGGGAGAAATGCTTCCTGTGCCATTCAGCAGCCCCTGCCACCACAGCTGGGACTCTACCCATGGATCAAGCCAGATCCAAGGATCAGTAAGGGCTGTGTTTGCCCCATTGGTGGATGCAGCTTTGGGAACACTCTGTATTTTTCCCATTATGACAAATGCCCATAAGGAAACTGGCACTACGAAAAGGTTGCACAATCCCCATCAACTTAAAAGGAGAAAGCCAGACACACCTATTCCTTCCGTAGCACTGGAGGCACGAAGGGACTAATGCTAACATATACAAATAACAGGTCTGGAGGAACTCTCTCAAATTCCAGTCTGGGACAGTATCAAGATATGATTAATGCTGCATTTTATAAAGCATGTAAGTGGTTAAGATGAAGATGCACTTCACCTAAGCCTCTCTTTTTAAAATTTTAGAGAAACCCCTTTCATGAAAAATCAATAATTTCATATGAACACATGGACATTTGGCAGATCTTGCAGAGAAAGCACTTTACCAACATAGTATAAGATTTCATTGGTTTCTATGGTGAATTGGAGAGAAAAACAAAAGCTTCAACACCATTATGAACCCATAATTGGGTTATAAGGAAATATAGTAAAACCGGGGGTGATACATCATCAAGAGTTCTTCAGCTTTTTAGTCTAAACATTTCTCATTTTAAAAATAACTTAGCAAAAGCAACCTTCCCCACAGTTTCCATTTCACCCAAACCCATGTGTGCTCAAAAAATTCCTAACCATCTTTTATAATTAAGAGTGTTAATCAGTTCTGTCCCTTAGCTCTCGTATTTGGTAGTTCATATAATGGTTTGGGAGGATCCAGATAACATTTGAGGCTGAAATGAGTCATCCTGGAAAAGATTATGTTCATATAATTGCAGCATGGTATGGGAAGTGCCCTATATTATAACTTGCTCAGCATTAGCCTGATTCTGAAGGCAGCTGTAGTCAGCCACCCTGCTATGAGTAACTCACTGAGGTCTCTCCTCACACAGCACCTTTCTTACCTCATGAAAGCTTTAAGACACAGTTCTTTTCCAGCCTTTGTGTTTTCACAGCCTGGACACCAACATCCCAGCCCACTGCCAGCCTCCAACCCCCACTGTGATGGAAATATTAAAGAACACAGTTTCTCTCACTTCAACGCTGGTGGTTTTTTGCCACTAGATCTCTTTTGTGCCTCAATCATTCCCATCTGCCAGACAATACGAGTGACTGAGGAGGCAGCAGAGCTAAATGGCTGGGGATACCACAGTCTGTTTTATCCAGCTGCATCCAGTTCTTGGATCCAAGTTACTGCAGTAAGTTCCTCCAACTGATTCTTAAAAGTGCAAACATTAGAGTCACCCAACAAATAATGAAATGCTGTCATGACCCTCCCTGTCCAACCAGCAAGAAGGCTGCCTCTGCTCAGCAGGATTTGGGAGCAGGAATTTGCCAGGGAAAACTGCTCCCAGAGCACCCAGTGAAGTTCTGACGTGCCAGGATGTAAAGGGAACACATTCTTAATTCTCAGCATCCAACACCTTGTGGGATGGGACACACTAAAATGGAAGCCCTGTTGGGACAGCAATTACAGCCCCCCTTTGACTCCATCATTTCATGGGTTACCTTCTCCTTGTGATTAGAAGGAAACTCAGGTTCCCCCACCCCAGCCAGAAGCAAGGCTGCCTGAAGCTGTGTTGCAGGAAGGCAGGTGCATGTTTGTGACTCCACTGGGAGACTGGCAGCAGTTTCACACCAACTGACTGAAAAAGTTTTCCTGAAACTGCTCTGAGAAGATCCCAAGGGAGTGGAGTGCTGTGTGGGGACTGCCAGCTCCTTTCTGCTGCCCGGGAAGTGAAACATTTTGTGGGAACACGCATGGCTGAGGAATATGCATGGCTGAGGAAAGAGTGCCTGACTCTAGCATGGTGTATGATCTCTCTGCCATTACATTCTCCTTCCATTAACCATTTTTTCATGGTGCTAAGTTGCTGGCTGGGGTTAAACCACACCACCTTCACCATCAGTTAAAAATCCCCTTTTCTTGTCCTCATCATTCCCTTAGTTTCTCTGCCTTCCCATCCTGTCCTGCCTTCTTCAGGTTCTTTTTGAAATCTCACTACAAGTTTGTCTCCCATTTCAGTTCATGGCTGGGACCATCACATCTAAAGAGTGGTTGGTCTCCAACACTCTGAAATAGCCATGCACCACCTCCCCCACTCAGAGGTGGGAGCCCTACATTTCCAATGCCCAAGCACAACCTATTCTTACCTCTACTCCCTGCACTTGCCATCCTTCAGGTACATGGGCTCCCTCACTTGCTAGACTAGTCTTTATACTGTCTCAAACTTGGCATAAGAGGAAGTTTATGCAGGGTTCAGTGGAAACCAGCAGGCACCTAATGATTTGTTTTCAAGATTTAGTTAAGTGGAAGTGGCAGGGGTAAGATCCAGGGCTGGCATTGATTTTTGCCCTGCTGACTTTCATGTTGAGCCCATTAAAGTTTTCTGCTCTGTATATTCAGCAACACTTCCACATACCAGGGCTAGAGCTTTCCAGTCTGGTATCCAGAGCTCTGCTGCAGCTCGTTGTGGCCAAATCAGTTGGCAGCAGCTCACCAGAAACGCTTTTGGAGTTGGTTATGAGATGAGATAGATCTGCAGGAAGATCAGGACGCCTCTCTGTCTCATGGTCCCATAGCCCTCTGTGACTCCTTGGCTCACAAGACATTTATTACCCTGGGCATGCACTTGTGTCATGCAACAGAGACCCTGACCCTGGGCTACTGAGGTCCTTGACACAGCCAGAGTGCCCAGAAGGGACTGGCTTGCTTTTCACTGGTCATGTGGTTCTGCTGTGCCATGCCTCATCCGAGGATAAGGTTACAGTACACCTTGGCAAGGTAGATCCTGGATACACCTAACTTCACCAGCACATCTTCTCCAAAAATATCATAGTCCTTTTTAAAACAAAAAAAAAGCAAAGACGTTTTCAGGGAAGGGGCTCTGGACAGAAGGGATGCAGAAAGAGTGAAGGAAGTGTGAATTTCAGGCACCTAAACCAACGTGCTGCACGACACCACAACTAGGGCACCCCTCTGTAGAATGGCTGGGATCAGATGCTTCCAGAGCAGCTGGGCAGTGCTGGTGGGGCCATGAGGCCTGGGGCTTGGACCCAGACAGTCTTTCTTGCCTCTCACAACGTATAAGCTCCATGCCCACAGCCCGTCAGGTTACCGTCTTTGATCCTGCATAGCTTATGAGCTCTTCCTGAAGCCAGCATGAAAGCCCTGGAGGTTGGGATCCCCAGGCTTTGTCACCGGGCAGCCTGGAGCTGTGGGTCTGGCTCACCCAGAGACACCACTTACTGCTCTTCAAACAGGCACACGAAGCGCTTTTGGGACCGCCCCCAAACAGGAACGGCTGACACCGCAAGCCTGTATTTTAAACCAGTTCAGATCAAACACTAAGGAAATTCCAAACCAAAGAGCTTTCCATTTCCTCTGCTTCCCCTGTAATCCACCCGACTGTCTGCCGGTGCCTGGGAGTGCTGCTGGCCTAAAAGCTACCAGCCTCCTCTCACACTCGGGAGAGTTGGTTTTATCTGCCCTATCCCTGATGGGCTCCAGCTCTAAAGCTTCCTACACAAGCCCCTTTTAATAAATTAGGACAACTACTCTGGGCTTCTCAAGGATAATCGCTAATAAAATTCAGTAGATTTCCCCCAAATGACATGAAATGGTTGGAAGCAAAAACAGAAACTAAAGGAGAAAGAAAATGCAGGACAGAAATAATAGGCCTTGTTCCATTCATGTCTCATCCGCCACTGGTGAGTTTTTGTTCTTAGAGTCACATATTTCAGAGGTGAATCCTCCCAGGCTGTCTCCAGCAGGGGAATGCCTCATGCTCGCTGCTTTGGAAAGCTGGCTGGTTGTTTTTGAAGTTAGTTTACAAGATCTTCCCAAACCTAGAAAAAATCATGAAAGCCTCAGGCTTGGATTTACAAAGAATCAGCATGGCATCAACAAAAGACAAAGTCAAAAGAGGCAAAAGATGTCCAGATTCATCCTGGCTTTCTCTGATAGGAACCTCTTCCAATACTTTATTCTCCAAAGACAATTTAATGCACAAAAGCAATGGATTCTGAAGTCCCTTGAGGCACTGTGGACACTGATATTTCTATGTGGTCTAGGTTCAAGATGGCTGAGGAGCCATTGAGACCATCAGGTCTGGCTCCTTGTAGACAAAATTAGACCCAACAGATGAGTTAAGTACCTCAAATAGGCAGCCCGAATGGCAGCAATCCCCAAACACACCAAGGAGCAGCAGGAATAACCAGTGCTGTTTTCTGTGTTATTAGGTTATCACACTGGGTCCACAGGAAGAGCAGCTGGAGGACTGCAGAGCGTTGGATTTGTCTGTCACATGAGAACAGGAGGTTGATAAAGGACTAGGTGGGTCAGCAAGCCCTGTCTCCAAGTAATCTGTCTGTCGGCTTAACTGGGAGCAAATTACAGGCACCACTAACGAGAAACATGAAATGGTACTGGCATGTCTTGCCTCCTGTCTGTCTCCCCTTGTGGCACATTGCCAGTACTACACAGGAAAGCCAAAGAGCCTCTGAAACTCATTACATCTTGGAGGAAGGGGGAGGAGTTTTCATCCTGAGCAGGCCACTAGTGACAGCCCTGAGCATGGGATTTATGTGGGACAGATACAGGAAATCAAATGACTATGCAATCTTCTTTCACATTCGCTCAGATACATCAGCATATCACAAACCCAAGGATTCTTATCACAGGTGTGATTTTATGTCATTATGATTCTACTCTGTAGTTATAAAATGCCTTACACAAGATCTCAGAACTCCACCTTCAGAAACAGAGTTTTCTTGCCCATCCCTGCTCCTCCTAGTGGAAGACCATTCCAGAACTTTACTCCACAGGAGGGGAAAGACAGTCCTTGCTACATTTGATTTGAAATACAGCACATATAAGTTTGTAATTAGACCACGTGGATGATAAGAAATGGGAGGTCTTGAATAGGGAAAGAAGATTGCAGTATCAGAAAGCTCTTCACACCATGACTACTATCTCCCTGCTTCTCCAAGTGAGCTGAGATGCTAAAACAATTAAGGTATAACTTCAACATCAAATAGGACCTAAAACTGCCTTTTGTAATTTTATTTTTCTTACTTGTATTTATACTTCAGCGTATCAATATCCTGAACTCCTGCTTCTACATAGTATGTGCCTCTTCTCAAGGCTTCTCTGATGTTAGCACTCCACTCAGATAATCCTGACAAGCCAGCCACTTTCTTTCAGGGGAGGTAATGAATTTAAATAAAGCAGTACTGTAGAAATGGAGAGTCAGTACATGTTTCCCACCAAAAGCCAGGACTCACTTTGGGAACACTGCATGGCACAATGCACTGAAAAGTCTCTCCTGGCAGGGTTCATCCAGTAGCTTATAGCTAATCCCTACCAACCAGAGGTCCCTTTATCCAGGAAACACAACCCTGTATTGCAATAGGTCCCAATTCCCCTTTGTTTCAAGTCCATTCCTGCATTTGCCACACCAGTCAACAATATCAGCTCTAATGAGGTGTCATGACCCATGGAGTGGCCTCCTTGTCCTTTACCAGGCAAGAACAAAGGGATTGTTTTGTAAACTGCAGCCCAGAGCACCTCACTGTGTCTGTGACCTTTGTGTATTGAACTGTGCTGCTGATTTTCTTTATTTATGAATTATTCCTTGCGCAATGAAACACCTGTCAATCTGTGGATGTAGAACAAATCATTTCCTTAAGGCCACCAATCCTCCAATGCTTTTTTCTTCAATCCAGATAAATCTGCCCCTCTTTATATCAAGGCTTCATGAACTGTGAAGTAAGTAATCATTAAGTGTTTTAAGAAAACGGTCAATCAGTTCACAGAGATTATTACAGACTCCAGAAAATCACTGAAGTTTCTTACAGTCGTGGTGTGTAACTCTCAGTGCTTTTTCCCAAAGTGTATAACCTTCCAACACAGCTCTTAAATTCTCCAACATAGCTCCTCAGCTATTCCCCAGGCATCACCACTTCCACTCTGCAAGGCAGCAAGTGTGGTCACACACCCTTACTTGGGAACTGCCTTCCTAGCACATATTCCTCATGTTGTAACATGTTTCTAGCACCTAAGAGTCATCCGAACCTGCTTTGCAAAGTATTTAGAAATGAAGTCTTACAGCAATGTCACCCACAGCACAAATCAACACCCAGCAGACTCAGCTGTGACTATTTGCAGGCAGAAATGACTGAATGCTAATGTTATTCCTCCGAAACGACATTAAGGGATGGTAATTCGGTTCAGGGCACTCGCATAGATCTAACACTGGTGGAAGAAGTAATGATTTATTCAAATTGCAGCATCACCTTGAAGAGCCAAGTTATTTGGTGACCCCATTGCAGCAGGACTGGACCCAGTCACCATCTTGAAAGGGAGACTGTGGGGATGCCATGGGATGTGAACAACAGCACATACCTCTCTGGGAAAGGCTGGGGCAAAGAGAGGTTCCAACCCTGCCAGAAAATCTGCCTCTCCGTAGTCAAAGAAGCCTGTGTCCTGAAGAGCACCCAGGACAAGGGGATGGGAGACATAAATGATGAGACCAAGGGGTCTTTATCCGTAGTGTTCCATATATATATTGGGTCAATATAGCAAATAGTCCCTGCTCATATGCAGAATCTCACTGCCCTGACAGAGAGTCCCGAATGACTGCCCTGTGACTCCAGATTTGCAAGCTTTGTGTGCTCCAGGGACAGGCTTTGTGTGCTTATGCCCCTAAAGTCTTGTACTCACAAAATCAAGGATCTGCATTTTTATTCCAGGGCAATTATTTCCTGGTGAAGAGATAGGTAGAAGAGCAGGGCCATGAAGGACTCATCCACTTTCTCATTCCTAAGGAGAAGATAGAATGGTCACTGTGAAGTTTGCAGATTTGCAGACACAGATACCATCAGACCAAAGAACAAAGTCTCTGCTCAAGGGCTGCACTATATAAAATATTAGCTCTGATGGGGACAGCAGCAGCACAGTCACATTAGCACTCCTGGTGCATGCAGCACTGTGGATGTCCTAGCTAACATGGAATTTAAGTGAAAGTAAAATGGAAAACAACTTTGGATATTTAGGCCCAAATTCTTGTCTTCCTTTAGATAACAGAATAGAAGGCTTTCAAACAGGTGATAGGATTATTTCTTTGCACGTGTTGAGGACTACATGCATTTGGTACTGTTTCCCACTGAACCTCACAGATGAGAGATTTTAAACCTCTAATATTTCCTATTCTGCTTCTCAAACACCCTGGTCCCCCCACTACCAGCTACACACACATAATTCTTAAAACAAACTCTGCATGACATACCTTATAACTGCTGCAAATGGTAATGTTTGCTCATTTGCTTCTTTCGAAAGCAAAAAATCTGAAAGCATGCAGAGGAGAAAAACAGTATTTCCTAAAAAAAAAATTGCTAGTGTCAGCAGAAACAGCTTTCTAACTTATAGGGGCAATGCTTTGCTGATGCAAAATACGAGCAATTACTCACAGTTTACATCATCCAACGTATTCCTGTTGTACCCACTCGGACAGCCCTTGCAATTTTCCCTCTTTATCAGCCTGCCTTCTTCCAGCACTAATCTTGGAAGATGCTACTGGTTGACAAATAGATAACGTTCAAGGACACAGTGCTTATTCCAGTCTGAAAATATTATCTGCCTGGTACATACTCTTTTCACTGCACTCAGTTTGAAAGGGACAGGCAGTGAAATGTGTTTGGCAGCTACCCTGAACTAACTTTCAACTATTAAAACTGCAAACCAGGCTGGGGATGTTGAGAGAAATAGGACATTTCACCTCTAAGGTTGCTTCTGAAGTTGCTCTTTTAGTTGCTAATATAATAAATTGCGACTGCATTATTTAGATCAAAGAGGTTTTAAGTAATGGATGAAAGTCAGCTATACCATGTTGTGAATTTATAAAATTAATAATAATAATAATTTAATCTTTGAAGTGCCTTACACAGATGAATTAATTACCTCAGAGTACTCTTTGGAGTAGATGAGAATTATTACCTCGTTCTGAGCGATGTGCAAACAGCAACAAAGATGCTGGATGACTTTACCAAAGTCATACCAGGCTAGTGCCTGAGCTAGCATTCAACACCAGGCATGTCTGACTCTGTTTTTGTGTTCAGACCACTCATCCACCCTGCTGAAATGACAGCTGGCTTCCTGCTTCGTGAGCTTTGTTCAGACATGATCCTCAGACAATGGATAAAAATATTCCCACACAAATGATCTTGTTTCTTTTTGAGCTAGGCTAGTCGAGTTGAAATACCTCTTTAATGTCTTCACAAGCATTTCCTGAAAGTCGGTATTTTTTTCCTTCCTTAAGGTTTTCCTCAGTTGCTGGACTGGAGTTGAAATATAAAGTATGAACAGTAGTCTGATTTTAAATTACTAGCAGCAATATGAAGAGGTCACCATCCCAGGACATGAAGGCACATCTATTTTGGCCTCTAGCTGACACTGACAAAACATCTGGGTTGTGGTAAGGTCAGCGTGAGACATTGCTTTCAAGAACACAGAAGCAAAGAACAAAGGGGTTTCCTGGGGCCCTCCTGCTCTGTCTCCTGCCCCATATGCACTGTGCCATGTAAACCTTTCGAGTAGTGTCTCAAGTGGCTTTCGGAGGATTTTAGGTGCAAACTGCTCCATTCCAGAGCTCTTCTTTGGGATCACTGAGGGCAGTGACCAGGCAGAGGTCACCAGGGAGCCCACGCCCCGCCCTGGAGAGCCACTGGGCAGAGTCGGCAGCGTTCCCAAGCCCAGTGGAGAAGGTGGCTGAAGCTGCTGAGACACAGACCATGAAAGACTCCCGCAGTAGCCGTGTGACCAGAGAGAGATGACCAGCCTGGCTCCACCGTGACAAAGCCTTGGAAAATGCCCATCAGGGCAGGAGGCAGCATCGGGCAGTGTGTGAGTGACCCACTGCTGCCACGCTCCACCTGAGCGCCCTGCCCCTGAGAATAGCACAGGGGGGTCTAGTTTGGGTGGGGTTTGGGTTTGGTTTTTTTGCCTCAGTGGTTAAAAAGGCCTGATAATGTTCCAATCCACAACTGCCACAGACACTCAAAGCAGCGTTAAGGGCACTTTTTCCTGTGCAGAGCTGTGGTTTCCCCAAAGTTCTGCAGTCCTCTGGTGCTCCCCATTGCACAGGGTCATACATACCAGCAACAGGGAACATCACTCTGTGGACCCCCACCCTCACGTCCAGTACTGCTGCCCCAGTGTGTGGCACATTTCTGACACACTGCAGGACTCACACACACTTTAAACCATTTCCCTGTAGTCCATCTTGAGCCCAGTAGGGAGTAAATGCATATTTCTCATTTTCTCCATTAACATGACGAAAGAACTTGTCCCGCAGTTGACTGTTTGGGTAAAAAAAATATTACACTCTGATTTTACTTGGAACTGCTGTATTTATCAAGGCCTAATCCTGCATAATTTGTAACTGAACATCATTCTTTTACCTTGCAAATTCAAGGGTGTTAGTATCATCTTTCCAGTACCACTCACCTTGAATTAGTTTTATCATCTGCAAGAAAACAGCACATAGAGTACGTCATAAATCTATGCTCAAGTTCTCAGCCCAATAAAGTATTTATAACGCAAATCCTGTGCATATGAGCCACTTTCTATCATTCTTCAGTCCGCTTTTCCCCCAGATGTTGTTTGTGTGTGTCATCTGAACAGAAGTTCTCGAAGGCTGCCATTGTAAGAAAGAAAAATGTGTATTTCTCCTTTTTTGTCTTTCAGGTTATTAATTAATTGAAATAATTGAAAGTTTGCTAAGGAACATCAGTTCTTGGATTAACAGTGAATCAATGAAGACTGAGAAATCAAATGGAGCCATGTATTAAACAATACATTGCTTTTGTGTTTTTTTTATAGTATTTATGTAATTGTAGAGTCTAAGTACTGGGAGAAAGGAGGCTTTTATTTAAAAATGGAATATATTGTGTACATTCCTGATATTCTAAGAACTTTAAATAAACACCAGATAGACTCTTCAGGGGACACTGGAAAAACTACTAGTAAAAGCACTTTACAGCATCTATATTTTTTAAAAATTCCAAACAAAAATATCCTCTGGAAACAAATGAGGTCTATTAGTCTTTCTTAATTAACAAGAGAGACTTGCAAACCCTTAACTATTAATTGCAGGTCACCTTTAAAACAAAATGACTCTTATTGCTGAAATCCTTCTGCCTACAAATTTAAACCTAGTGAAACTTTGAGGCTTCCTGTGACTTTTTGCCACGTACCATTCAGCTCTCACAAGGCTCTCACAAATTCTTACTCAATCTAATTTGGTAGTAGAGGCTGGATATGGGGCAGCAGAATAATTCCATGTCAGCAGCCTGCAGCCCATGTGATGGTTAGACCGCAGGGATGAATGTTAGGAAACCATGGCTCTAATCCTTTGACAAAAAGTGGTTATTTCAACTTGTCTGTTCTAGTCTTTGGTTCCAGCTTTCTAATAGTGTTTTACAACTCTTGGATGAAAAGGTCCACACAAATGCTGTACCTTTATGTTACACAGTAGGGATTATGAACCATGAAAGAAAAATAGAAGAGGTGGTGATATAGCATAGCAAGACCTACCAGCACACCACAGGAAGGAGAAAATTCCACTCCTGTGTCTTCAAAATACATCTCAGCTGCTTCTCACTCATACCAATGGATGAATGACTGTCCCTGATCACTGGGCTCCCTGGCTGGGGCAGTGGGACAAGTTCTTGCCCACCCGTGGGTCCTCCTGTGGCCCTCGGATTCTGCTGCAAAAGGCAAACGTGGACAGCAGTAACAGGATGGAGCTGGGAAAGGCAGGGAGACTCACAGATGGCATGGTGCTGCCTGGAAGGGTGCCATCAGTGAAGGGGATAAGGTGACACTGTTTACGGCCGTATCCTGGTGACCATCTGCTGTTCCCTAGGAACCACAGATCCCAGCATGCAAACCCCCCTTCAGACTCCTCTGTGGATGAGACTCATGGCCAATGTCCTCTGCTCCTTCCCAGCACTACTAAGCAGCTTCCCTGGGTAACATTTTAGTCCAAACAGCGAAATTAGGTGTTCTCCATGTGATAACATCTCCACAGCCACTTTTTTAGGTTTACTGTGGCTTTGACGGTCAGGAGCTGTGGAGGTTCTCCTGGATTTCCCAGGACCGGCAGCAGTGAGGGCAGCTGGTCCTGGTCCCTCAGTTATGGGCAGTGATGTCTGTACAGCTCTCTGGATGTTAAAAACACTTTAGCTTCAGACTTTACCAGATTTAAAAGCATATCTACCAGGTCACGAGGTCCCTGTGCAAGACATCAGCTCCATATTTGGAAGTCGCACCTGGAAATAATTCCCATATGCTAAGGCAGGTCACTTTAGGGCATGATTTTGAGGCCTGGAATCTTTGGGATATTGTGAAGCATTTGCTTCTGCAAGCAGAGAATCTCTCCCACGTCATTCACAGCGGATCAGTGTTGTGGATAACTGGTACTGCTTATATCACACCCAAATTTGTACAAGTTATGTTGACAAAGGTACTTTTTGTCAATAAAAGTAAAGTCCCCATGAAGGGTGAGGTTTCATGTTACAGCTAATCCAGCCTAAAGGCCAGTTGTTGATGGAACAAGCTTCCATCAAGTTTTCCCATCATTTACCTTTGTGTTGATTCTGTATCTTCTCTGACCCCACAGCAAGGCGGCTCCCTAAACTGTCAAAATAGTCATGCAGCAAAAAATAAATGAGAATCTTCCAGTTGAGTTAGCATTTCACATCAGTTCATGGTGGAGTCAGAGAAGGGCCAGTGGAGATGCAGATAAATATAAAGGGACGGGGAGAGAACCACACCTCAACAAACCAGGTGAGCTATAAGGTGAAAACCAGCCACAACCTAGGGAAATATTGCTTCACTAGGCCAGTGTGCCCTCTGAAAGGATGAAAATACCTGACCTAAGACTTTTAGACAGATCAGTTCAGTAAGACGGATCAGTTCCTCTGCTTTCACCTCTTAAAAATGGCATCATTCATTTTTGCGATAGTTTCCAACAAGGAATTATACTCCTTAGAACAACACTCAGGTGTTCATGGCCACATGGGAAGAACAATTGGACAACACAACGTGGGGGAAGAAAATTTCCACAAAGCAACCTGTCTCTAACGTCCCCCATTTCCAAAGCCTTCCAAACACTGCATCTTTTCTCGTGTAGGTGCTCTTTAAGGGTTTATCCATGCAAGCACAATCAGTTCATGGATAGCTAAGCAAGAATCTCAAATCAGCCTGAAAACTCAGCTCTGGCTCTGTTCTGTACAGCCATCTCTCTCTCTTTATTTTGACAATCATATTGTGTATGTTGTGTTCCCAGTTGCTATCGCCGGCTGCCAAGTACATATCCACAGCTTGGCAGCCAAGTTACATATTTAAGAGGATGAGAGAAGTAGGTTTGGGAACAACTTCAGATCTCATCCACGGCAGCCAGGCAGCACTTATAGAAATAGGCTCAGGGGAAAGGGAGACGTATGGAACTGATGGCTCATCAACTGATTTTTAAAGAGCGGGGCTGTCATCGGCCCCAGGAGACCATCAGCCCACCTTGGCTCCAGTAAAAGTTGTGCTAAAAGAACTGGCAAAAGCAAAGGGTGTGTTGCAGGTACTCAGGGGTACCCATGTTAAAGTTTGAGGTGCAGGAGGTAGTGGAGACAAACCTTCGGCTGTGCTGGAGTTGGGGGAAGATTGTCACAAAAAGATAGGGAGAAACTAAGACTGAGAATTACCTACATTGAGAACAACTGTGGAAGCAAAGACTGGGACTGAGAGCTAAAGACAGAGCTGGTTAGGCAGGTGGGGAATGCCTGGGAATCAGTGCAGCAAACAGGTGAACTAGGGGAAATGAAGACAAATCCAGAAGGGATTTTGGAAGGGAGGGACAGAACTGTCTCTGGCCCAGTACAGGGGGTAGGACAGACATCAGTGTTAGAGAGTATAGTCTCTTGCCATAACCCTGAGATGCCTCAGTTACTAGGACAGGAGATTTGGGATACTCAGATGCAGCACTGTGCTACCCTTAACAAAGCATCTGCTGGAGTTCAGGTATTTCATGAGCTAAGGCTGCAGAGGTGAGCACCAAACATCTCACCTGTCCTGATGGCCCAAATGGGTATCAGTCTGGAAAAAAAAAATAAATTAAAAGCCTGGCATTGTGTAACAAAGGTGAATAGAGTCAGTTGCATCCATGCTTCAGCTTTCCAAGAGCTGGAAGCTCTAAAATGAGACAGAAGATTACAAGAAATTAAAATGTAATGGTTGAAACAATGAAAGCTGTGAGAGAAGCTGATTTCCACATGGACTTCAGTCACAGAATGCCAGGCAAAGCACTCCAACCCACATTCAGCCCCAATGTCCATAAGTTCATGCTCTTCTCTTTCTGAGCCAACAGCCTGGCTTCGTGGAAGTCTGAAATGCAGGATTCGGTGTCCACAGCTGCAACTGAATGGGAAATCTACTTTGAACAGTCCAAGAAGTGCATAACACTAAGCTCTCTGAAGAAAGCAGCTCCTTGGCATTTCCAGTGGAAGACCCCATAATATACACGTGGCATTCGGCTTTTGCCAATTTATCACCTTCTTTCTGTGGGAACTATGCACATTTCAGGATTGGAAAGCTGTGGATAATGTTGTGAAGCACTCAGGATGTGATGGTGATGAGCTCCACAGGCAGCATCCTAAGCAACAGTTCTTCTTTAGAGCTGGGGCTGGACAGCACACAGTAAATAACGCGTATGTTGAACCATGAAATACTACTTAGGGCATACACTGCCCATTGTGGGCAATGACTGAGGCAGGTGCCCTGCAGAAGAAAAAAAAGTTAAAAAACCTGTTAGTGCATAATTAAAAACTGGGTTATGAGGCATAAGCATAAAGAAAGCAAGAAAAAGGCTTGCTACAATTGTCATAATTCTGAACAACTGACCTTGCATCCTTAATAGGCTTCTTTTAGTGTTGTTTCTTGTGGTGTTTGTGTGTCCATGGGCATCCCAGTAGCTGGAAACACTCAACAGTATGTATATATACCCATTCTTTAGGTATATCTAATGTTTAATTTGGATATCACACCCTGAAAATAAACACATGCATAAACTCAACAAAAATATCACTGACTCACCATCCAGTAATCCACCTCTTCTCTGCCTCTTGTTTCTTCTTGCTGTGTCAAGCCTCTGTCTTCCATACCCACCGTATTAATTTCCTCCTCTTCTCCCAGGGGCAGTTAAATGTCAGCCCTGGTTTCTCTGGGAATATTAGACTCCATGTGTGCTCACTACTGTTTGTATTGGACACACAAGTGCAGAATTCAATTTCACAATTGCTAATACTGTCCATAACTAGGCCATTTACCTGCCAAGCACTCTGCCTGCTCATTTAAAACAGGATCATGCCATATGAATGGAATGAATACTGTCCTTAGGCACAATACTGTGAACACTGGTGTGGTTTTTTGCTTCAGATTTGTGTGACATTGAAGCTCCTAATTCCTTATTCTCAGCAATTTGCACTGTTTTCACGTATCAACACTGCTGCAATTTAGTGCATTCCTTGGATCACCCAAAACAAGGGGAAGTTAGGTAGCTGCACTGTAACTTCTGGAGAGATGCTGTGTCCACCTGACATCCTCATCTTCCCAGGACACCAACATCAGCTGTGCCCCAGAATCAGAGCCCTGTGGCCTCACAACTACATCCACAGCAGCAAACTGGCAACAGGTGTCTGAGAGGCACAGGCAAAATTAGCCCCTGAGCCCAGACCAAGGGTCTAAGGGAACTCAGGATGCAACTACTGCCCAGCACCCCTTACAGGCACACAGGCTGCTTTTGAAAAGCCAGAAAAACCAGCTGCACATTCTTCCACTTTAATCCTCACACAATTACTCCCTCTGCATGGTTTCATCAGGTGAGACTACTGAACAGGAGCAGTTGTCAGCCTTTCAGAATCAGGGGGGAAAAAGGTGAAAACTTAATATAGAAGTACTATAAACAAGATCTTCTCTGTTCAATTCTGTGAGCTTTGAAGGAAAATATGGCAGGGAACTTTATTTTTAGTGTATTACAGAGACTTTTTAGCTTATTAGAATTTTTGATTTAGTTATCTCCCACCTGTAGTGCTGGGGGTAGGACTAAGGACTCACTAGCATCAGTTGGCTTTAACTGGGCTGTGTTGGTACATTTGCAAACATGTGAATGAGGTCTGCGGCACGGAAACAAGGAGTCTGCCAAATGAGAAATAAACGTGGTTTTGAAAGAAATACGTTTCCATTTTTAGACATAGCCTGTCAAAAAGAAATGCTGCTTTCAGCTATGACATATGATTTCTAGACTGTCAGAGTCACTGTGCAGCAGCTCTTACAGGGATTGACAGAAAATATTTCATGATGCTTGTCAGTGCATGTAGCAAGGCAACTAAGACCCCTAAATCCATGGGGGGTTCAATAGAGTCCTGCCTGAAGTACATAGCATTGCCACTTCTGGAAGTGTTTTGGTCTCCTTAATCCTGTTCAAAACAGATTTTAATTCCTGACCTGCAAATCATTTGGAGCAATAACATTTTGAACGGCTCCAGCAGTGAGGGTACAGGTGCTGCTAACTGCTACCTAAGCATGGGCAAGGATGACTTCACACTTCTTGGTCCAGGATGCAACAGAAACCTGTCAACTTTTGCATAGGCCAACATACAAAAAACAATTCCTGAATGGTGGAAGAAAACATCTTTAGCAATGGAAAAGGAGCACAAATTTCCTATGCTCTTGATTTTGTTTAAGACTATGAAAGAAAGTGTTGGCTCTCAGAGGGAAATTTCTCCCCTCTATAAAATTCCTGGTTGGTGCTGTTATTGGGATGACAAGAGGAACCAGCTTGTCTCTGTCTCCACCCTACTGATACAGGAGAGAGTAAAGGCAAATGGGTCATGCAAGGCTGGATCAGGGGGTTTTAATACTGCTGTTTCATATGTGGAAGTGAAATATGTTGCTGCATCTGGAAATGCTGGCCTGCCCAACTCTATAATCAGCATGCTGCTGCAAGCAAAATCTACTCTAGAGGCAGGTCTATGCTATAGGCTTCTGCCTGCATAAATATGTGGATGAGAGCGGTGGAGAGATGTGATACCTGACCCACATAGGTGTGCTAAAGAGGCTTTACTAGCATAACTTGTTTCGCTGTGGGGTAGGGAGGGGTGATAACTTTCCTGTGATGAACAACTACAGAACATAATTTCGCTGCTGTAAGAGCATCCACATGCTTTGCTGGTTTAATATCAGAGGACTGCCCTGTGCCAAGGTACAGTGTCCCTGACGGAGCAGAGATGAGACCACGGTGCGCTCTCTAAAGGGACACAGAAAGGGAAACTCATGCCAGGCACAGGGCCAGGAAGGAGAAATGAGGAACACCTTTGAAATAAGCAGAGCTTGGAACGCTATTACCTTGCAACACATTGACAGGACTGAAAAAGGGAACTTTAAAATTAGGCACGCATCCTGGGTGTAAGCCCGTGTTATTTAGTGTAAGTGCCAAGACCGGAAAAGTGAATTCCCTGAGCATTTTTTCCCTTTCTTCCTGTTCCTCATAAGTATCCACAGGAGTGGCTCACAATGGGGAAGACAAAATTTATGGTGCAGTCCTAAGATCATTCATCTCCTTCCTTGGCTGCACCCCACAGAGCCCCAAAACCTTCAAGGAGAACCTTTCAAATAAATGACAGGCAGCTCCCAGGAGAAATGCTGCCCAGCCTGCAGGGCTCCACGCAGTGTCTCCCGAGAGATAAAAGGAAGGCTGCTGGGATGTATTCATTCCTGCCTTTAAGATGGTATCACAAGGGATGAGCAGGGCTGCAGCTTGTCTGCTCAGTCCTTCTGCAAAACTTCAAACAGACGCTCCGGAGGCGGCGGGGCACGGGCTGACTCACCCGGCCGGCTGGGTGGACACAGCCTGTCCAAGCACGTCTCAACTTTCCAGCTCCCGAGTGGGTTGCCCTCAGACAGCTCCCTTGTCCTCAGCTCCCTCCGAGGGCTCTCACATGGCACGTTATTTTAGTAATGCTTTTGGCTTTGTCTTTTTTTGGCTCTTCCCTCTCCCCTGCAAAGCGAGGAATTGCAGGGTGACCTGCACCACACATGGGAGGGGTGGCTTTGCACCACTCCGCACCTGGATGCACCGTGAGCAAGGTGCTAAGGCACTTAGGGGGTTTAATTTGGGTGATTCAATTCTCCAGTATTAATGCTATGGGTGTTCCTCTATTGGAAACAATACCATCCGAACTCAATCAGCAAATATACGGGGCCATCAAAAATTAATACAGCAGTTCCACAAGTGCTAGGAAGTTACAACCACTTTATATTCTTCCTATGGACTTTGTCTTTCTTGCACAGTCCTGTTTGAGAACAGCAAAGTTCAGAAGCCCAGGCCTCTGATTCTGACAGGAGCAGCTGGCTTTCCCTGTGAGTCAGGACAGTGCAAAGGATGAGAGACACCGGCTGTGAAAGCAATGAAACTGCAGATTTTAGACAAGATTATTTTCCTGGCTTTGCAAAATTCATTTGAAATGTGCAACTACTCCCCAGAATGACACGTACACACCAAATGCACCTATGTGCAAATGAGGAGCAGCATTTGGGAAATTAACTTTATTTCTTTAAGAAACTGCAGCGGGGTGGAAATACAGACCCACTGGAGGCAGTGGGAAGTTTCCACTAACAGGATCAGAGTTCACTCCATGGTAACTACACTATACTGAAAATCAACTCAAAGTTCTTCTTTGTTTTATAAACTAAGTGAATGAATGCAAGGAATCCAGCTCTGAGCCCTACACGTTTTCTGCCTCTTGCATTGTGGGGGGGTTGTTCACATACTTGAAAGGCTACGTTGTGCCTCAAGACTTCAAATCTTTTCCCAAGCATGTAAGTCAGCAGAAGTTTCCAATCCTTTACATACCCCACATGCAGTCCAGGTATGTCCAACCAAAAAATACCTTTTTCGTAGGGAAAAAAAAAATTATCCCAGTGTTACCCTGTTCTTGTCCTCAGCCCTTGGGGTACTTAAACCATATGGACAGGGACTCCACTTCTCTGCTGTTTTCCCTGCCTGCCCCACTGCTGAAACAGGCACAGGGCAGCAGTGGCCAAGGTGAGGGGAAGGACAGACGACAGCACAGGTGTGTGACAAACTGCTGTGCACATTTAGCTACATTAGCTCTGCACTACACTTAAATAACAAAAAATTGTGTTTAATAACTGAGAAGCGACGCTGAGGAATGCAAACCAACAGCTGAAAAGTAAAGGAAACTATGCGGCAAGGGCAATTACCAGTTGGTTAATAGAAAAAATAGTTAGCCTGCATTTACAATGAAAATGGGCACGACCTATTTCTTATTGTCATCCCAGGGTAGTGGTATTTCAGTTCGGAAAACGTGTACCTGACAGAGTATTACATTTTGCAGCAACAACTTTTCACTATAGATAATCTAGTCCTATTCATAAACATATTTATTTATTAGTTCCTAGGGAAAAAAAAAAAAGTCGCAGTATCTTCTCATTCTCAGGGGTCATTTTTATGTCACAGCCTGGAAAACAAGAGGTTGACTGCCAGGAAAATGCTGTGTACCTGAACACCAAGACCACCCAGCCTGACTGAAGCCTTCAGAGATGTCACCGAAGCCCTCAGCAGGTGCTGAAGTTGCTGCAATTGACTTCTCCAATCTCACTGTGATGGCACTGCCATTTACCTACGGACCATTCAATAAACCTGAAGTGGTTTTGAATCATTTGCAACAACAGCTGATCAAACAAGCTTTTTACAAGCCTCACATTCACCCCACTACAACTGTAACCCCCATTTGTAGCTGGTGAAGAGAAAACCCACAGACAGTGCCCTGAAAAAAGAGCTGAGAGAAAAATCCACGTAGTAAACCAGAGTCTTACACCTGTGCTGATGATTAAATACTGAACACGTGTATTTTTTGTCTGCTTTCTTGTCACAGAATACTTTTTATAGATTTTCTTTTTAAAATATACATGACCTACAAGTTTAAGGAATCAAAGAGTTCTAAAAGCTCCTGGCAGCAGGGAGGGCTGTCAGGGCAGCCCCCACCGTGGTTCCCGGGACACCAACACTCCCACATACAAACGAGGAACAAACCAAAACACGGCGGCCGATTCCCTCCAGCCGCCCACGGCTCCGCAGTTTTTTCCCTTAAAGGACAAGCCAGCCCGAAATGTGCGTGCCATCAGGATCCTCCATGAGAGCTCATTAACTCGCAGCGCCTCGGACTCTGAAACGCTGCCTGCGGAGGTTTTTTTTGGTTTCTTAAACAAATGAACAACTCTGCAGACAGTTTGCAGCTAAGTCAGACAAGTTTAACTACTACAAATTTTGCTTATTCTATTAAGCCCAGCATACCGGCTCCTTACTCAGCGCTCCCAGCGCTGGGGGTGTCTTCGCCAGCTTAACTTTTGATTGTCTTAAAGAGGGGGGAAAAACACGTTCAGTAAAGTATTGAAAGCTCAGCGTGCAGACAAGCAACCCAAGAATATCTCAGCACTTTGTACAGCTGCCCACAAACCGATCTCTATTTTATCGAGCCCCACCACCTGCCAAGCAGGACTATTTCTGTTGTCCTCGTTTCCCCGCTGTTCTCCCCCAGCCACACGCACACAACCAGCATTCCCGTGCCGGGCGCTCCAGCGCCAGACACCAGTTGCGGGGAAGAGCAGCTCCCGCCCGAAAACAGCACCCGCACCTCTGCGGAACTTTTCCCTGCCGTGGCAGTGCTGGGGACCACTCTCCCACTGCCCCAGCCGCAGGGTTTGGGGGCTGTGACACCAGCACCCCCTCCCCAGCTCCCAGCCCAGGCTGGGTTCCCCTCAGGAAGCCCCCGTGCTCTCTCCCACTGCCCCTCCGGAGCCGAACATCCCCCTGCTCCACTGCCACCACCCTCGTCACCCCAGCAGGGCAGGTCCCAGGAGCCACAGACACTGCCAGGAAAGTTTTTCCTCACCTGCCCCTCCACCCCCTCCGACTACTATCCCTTCACAGAGAGGAGAAAGAGGATAGATTTATGCTTTAAATACATTTTATTTATAACCAGAATTTCCAGAAACCGAATTTGGCATTTTCTCTTTTAATCTTCTGTAAAGATTTTCATGCATAACTTGAAACTTGTCAACTGCAACAGTCGAGTGGTAACTTTAAGAACAGAGACAGAGACAAACATCCAGAGTACAAACAGCTGTATCTGAATTAACAAAACTTGTCTATTACTAACCTTATAAAGCAGGACGTGCCTTCCCTCTTATCAAAACCAAGCTGACAGATCTGCCTTTATACACACCCAACAGAATAAACTCTGTTATCGGCAAGGACGTTTTCCTTAAACGTTAGAAAAAAAAAAAACAACAAAGCAAAGAACGGAGCAACTGTCCATAAACCAGTCTGTGCTTCAGTCTTCTTTAATCTACTTCTTCGATGGTGGGGCCGCCGGAGCCGCCTGCCCCGGCCCCTCCGTCTCCCCGGTACAATTTTGTGACGATCGGGTTGCAGAGTTTCTCCAGCTCTTTCTGCTTGTGCTCGTACTCCTCCTTCTCAGCCATCTGGTTGCGGTCGAGCCAAGAGACCACCTCCTTGCACTTGTCAAGCACCTTCTGCTTGTCCTGGTCACTGATCTTTCCCTTCAGTTTTTCATCCTCCACCGTCTGCTTCATGTTGTAAGTGTAGGACTCGAGGGAGTTCTTGGCTGCCACCCGATCTCTGTTTGCTTCGTCCTCTGCCTTGTACTTTTCTGCCTCTTGCACCATGCGGTCGATGTCATCCTTGCTGAGGCGACCCTTGTCGTTGGTGATGGTGATCTTGTTCTCCTTCCCTGTGCTCTTGTCCACGGCACTGACGTTCAGGATACCGTTGGCATCGATGTCGAAAGTGACCTCGATCTGGGGGACTCCTCGGGGTGCTGGGGGTATGCCTGTGAGGTCAAACTTGCCCAGTAAGTTGTTATCCTTCGTCATGGCCCTCTCACCCTCATACACCTGGACAAGGACGCTGCTCTGGTTGTCCGAGTAGGTGGTGAAGGTCTGAGTTTGTTTGGTGGGGATGGTGGTGTTGCGCTTGATGAGAGCAGTCATCACTCCTCCAGCTGTCTCGATGCCCAGGGACAGAGGGGTGACATCCAACAGCAGCAGATCCTGCACGTTCTCAGACTTGTCTCCCATCAGGATAGCTGCTTGCACGGCAGCACCGTAAGCCACAGCCTCATCGGGGTTGATGCTCTTGTTGAGCTCTTTGCCATTGAAGAAGTCCTGTAGCAGCTTCTGGATCTTGGGGATACGAGTAGAGCCACCCACCAGCACAATCTCCTGGATCTGGCCCTTGTCGAGTTTGGCATCACGCAGAGCCTTCTCCACCGGCTCCAGGGTGCCACGGAAGAGATCAGCATTGAGCTCCTCGAAGCGGGCACGAGTGATGGAGGTGTAGAAGTCAATGCCCTCAAAAAGGGAGTCAATCTCAATGCTGGCCTGCGTGGAGGAGCTGAGGGTGCGCTTGGCCCTCTCACAAGCCGTGCGCAGCCGCCTCACCGCCCGCTTGTTGCCAGCGATGTCGCGCTTGTGCTTGCGCTTGAACTCTTCCACAAAGTGGTTCACCATGCGGTTGTCAAAGTCCTCCCCACCCAGGTGGGTGTCACCAGCCGTGGACTTCACCTCAAAGATCCCATCCTCAATGGTAAGGATGGACACATCAAAAGTGCCCCCTCCCAGGTCGAAGATGAGCACATTCTTTTCTCCGGCCCGGGTTCCTTTCTTGTCCAGGCCATAGGCGATGGCGGCTGCTGTGGGCTCATTGATGATGCGCATCACGTTGAGGCCAGTGATGGTGCCAGCATCCTTGGTGGCCTGGCGCTGGGAGTCATTGAAGTATGCCGGCACCGTGATCACAGCGTTCTGAACCTTGCGCCCCAGGTAGGCCTCAGCAATCTCCTTCATCTTGGTGAGCACCATGGAGCTGATCTCCTCTGGGAAGAAAGTCTTCATCTCCCCCTTGTACTCCACCTGCACCTTGGGCTTGCCACCCTCGTTCACCACACGGAAGGGCCAGTGCTTCATGTCTGACTGCACTGTGGGGTCATCATACTTGCGGCCGATGAGGCGCTTGGCATCGAAGATGGTGTTGGTGGGGTTCATCGCCACCTGGTTCTTGGCAGCATCACCGATGAGCCTCTCGGTGTCAGTGAACGCCACATAGCTGGGTGTGGTGCGGTTGCCCTGATCGTTGGCGATGATCTCTACCTTGCCGTGCTGGAATACACCCACGCAGGAGTACGTGGTGCCCAGGTCGATGCCGATGGCCGGCCCTTTGGCAGACATGGTGTCGGTGCTCTGTGCGCTGCTGCCTCGTCCGTGCCTCCCCCGCCCGTTCCCGCTGCCGCCGCGGCGCGATGTGCCCGGCCCGCGCTGCCGCCGCCTCTTTTATGCCCGCCGCCGCCGCTTCTGGAACCTGCCAGAACCCTGACGGCCAATCCGGACGCCTCGAGAGCCACCCTCCGGCCAATCGTCCCCGCGGTCCGCCGGCCAGCGCCCGCCCCCCGCCTCCCGGCGAATCAGAGACGCGAGCGCGCATCCCCCCGGCCCCGGCCCCTCCCCGCGGCCGCGATCCTTCCGGGTTTTTCTTGTGCGCCACCGCCCTCAGCCAATCACCGCCCGTTCTGCGTGCTCGCCCCGCCCCCGCGCGCGCGTCTGCTGGAAAGTTCCAGCGGGGGGCTGACGTCATGCCGAAGATTGACAGCGGCGCTGCCCAATGGCGGGGCGGGGGCTGGGCTGGGTGGCCGCTTCGCTCCGCCCGGTCGGACCCGCCGGGCGCGGGGGCTGCGGGGGCCGCGGGTTCGTGCGCGCTGCCGCCGCCCGCTGCTTGTCATTCCTGAGTGCTCAACCCCGGCGCTGGGGAATTTACCCTTATTTGGTCGCTGGGCGACACAAATTCCGCCCTCTCCCCCTCCCTCCCATACACACCCTCCTTCAGCCTCCCCCCGCTTGTGTTAGGGCTGAACGGCCGCCCCCCACGGGCGCGGAGACCCCCGGGCTGTCATGGCGGAACGTCCCTTACAGAAACGCACACACTCCGCGCCCTCCCTCCGTGGCTGAGGGAAAGTCCCGCCGAGCCCCCTTTTAGCCTTGTTTCGGCCGAACTTGGCGGGCTGACAATCCCCGGTCTCCCCGGGGACAGCGGGGCCGGTTTGTCCCCGAGCCAAGGGAGCCTCTTGTCGGTGCTGAGGGGCTGCTGCGGGAGGGTACCTGAGGGCAGGGAATGGCACCGGGCTGTCCCCTCCTGTCCCAGCACCACAACTCAGGGAATGGCACCGGGCTGGTCTATCCCGGCATCAGAACTCAGGGTGTAACCCACAGCTCTCCCCTGCTGTCCTGGCACCAGGGAATCAGGGAATCCCTGGCATCAGGGAATGGCCCCAGTGCGGGATTTGGGGGCCCTGTTGCTGCGTGTTCCTGCGCGGTGACCATTCTTGAAGCGCCTCTAAATTCTTGTCTGTTGTGCTAATGTGAGATGTCGTCACGCCTACGTTTAGCAAAAGCTGTGGAGCTATTAACTCGGAGCTAGGAAAGTGCTTTGATGAAAATATATTAAACATGAAAACCTGCTGTGGTTCCTCCAAATTATTTCTCCTTGGTTTGAGACAAACACTGCAAAATATTCCACTTGTAGGAAGGAGGGCAAAACACCATCCTGAGACCTTTTTTTTTTTTTTCCAGGGAGTCTTAGTGAGCTGCTCCTTTTCAGTAGCTGTTTTATAAGTGTTACTAAAAGTCTGCTGCCCTTAGACTTTACAAGGTACATGAGAGAAGGATTAAATTTGCTGTGTGATTAAATCATCTTTCATTAGCTTTGTCCCTGGCCCTCAGCAATATGCTGTAGCAGGCCTTGCAGAAAATGTTACAGCTTTTCCCAGAGTGATCTGTACTCACACAGTTGTTACAGGCACTGGAACTCCAGATCAAAAACATCCTTGTTTCCATTAGTGTGTTTTTCAAAGCTTTTTTATAAGAAATGAGGGCTCCACCTCCTTTGTGTATCGTGTGTATGTATTTTTGAGGTGGAAGAGCCTCAATTTCTGACCATAAATATTGTACATGCTTAAATAACTATTATTCTTCCACAGATTCTGGTCTTTTTTTTTTCACACAGGTTCTGACGTTAGAGAAATCCAAAAGAAGTCAATGGAAAATGGAAACCATCGGCTGTCCCCACCTCCGACAGGAGCTGCTCTGTATATGCTGTGTGCAGATTTCTTTGATGAGAAGGGTGTCGGTTTCTCTTGTAGTTAGACCAGTGACTGATTCATCCCTGAACCATCTCTTCCTGTAATTCACTGTTACTTCATTCAGTTGATTGTATTATATGGAGCAGGGAGAAATGCCAGGGCAATACAAAGAGCGGAGGTTGATAAATTCCATTTCAGCTGAAAAGTTTATGTTGTTTATTATTTGTATCCTTGTGAGGACTGTCCCTTGGGAACACTGGTAATGCACAAGAACCCTGTTTTGATAGCTGCAGTACAAACTCAGACCTTGCTATTTCAGAGCAAAAAGAGGATTCCTGACCCAAAAACATATGTACAGAAACAAGAGATGGAAAGAACAAATGGAGGAAGAAATAACACAACAATATTGATTAGCACAATATGCAGTCTTTGCAGCAAAATTAGTTGGAAGTGTCATTTAAGTATAGCTGTAATCTAACAGTTTTATCAGATTTAGAAGTGACATTTCATTAATTTGGCCCAAAGCTTTTACCTATGCTTTATCAGCCCAGGCACAAAATATGAGCTCCAGACAACACTTGTTTGGAGTTTCCTTGGCCCAATAACTAGTTTGGCCCTGATATGGTTGTGCTGATACCCAAATGTGCTGATAACCTGCTAAAGAGATGTTTCCAGAGACTGGATTGCTGCTCACCCTGAGAGTATTTTCTCGGTCCTGTTCATTTCATCACTTTAATTGTTTTGCTATAGAAATTTTAGGGAAAAGATCTTGAAGGAATGTATGAACACACCATTTTAATGCCAATGGTGTAAATGAGACACTTGTGGCCATTCTCAGGAAAAATCCAAAGGTCTGTGGACTCAGGCTACAAATATTTCATTCAGCCTGTTGCAGAAGTATTTCTTTTCCAGCTGAGTATGCAGGTGCTGTTTTCTTCTTACACAATGATATGTCTAGGTCTGAGCTGTTTTTTAAGCCTTCATTCCTAATCAGAAGTTCACGTGATGTCCTTGCCACTGTCTCTTACTGATGTCCTTAGAGAAAGTCCCGTCTAACGAGAGGGAGCAACCTCTAAAACCTCATTAGACCTATTCTCTCTTCTCAGCAGAGCTATTACCAGCCTGCTTTTTGTCAGCAGTTTGTGAACCAACTCATCCATGCAGTCATCCTCTCATATGGGAAGAGACACATGATTCTCTTTTATGTTGCTTCATATGCAGTCATAGTACAGGTGAGCCAAACCGACTGGTTCGGAAATTAAAGAGTGAGCTTTATGGGGAGGACTTCAGCACAAGTCTGATTTTCGCTTTAAAAAAACAATTGCTGTTATTCCCCCATCCTGAATCTGTGAGCTGTAACTTCCAGAAAAGCAAGTCAGCACCTCAGGAAGTGGCAGGTGCCTTTCTGATCCATTAATTTATGTTTAGGATCGATAAAGCACCCCTGTCTCCTGTTTGGCAGCACTATGTAATACGCCGTAGGCTATTCTCCATTACACCACCCAACCAGAAATGAAGATGATATGTAGATTTCTTCAGTGAAACAAGAGCTCAGTATCTGGAGCAGAACTGAGAACTCAACCCTTATCTTTATCTTGATAAAAGGAAAATTTTTCCCCACGTGTTTCATAAGGCAGTGGAGTATAAAAATAGGACTGAACCCAAGTTACAGTTCAATCAGACATCAGCCACTCGGATCATTATGATAAAGTTGAAATGGTCTGTTCAGGTCTGACAGTCAGAAGACCTTAGACCTTAAATTCTGATATCCATTTCCCTTGTATCCATTTCGCTAGTACCCATTTCCCTAGAAAAACTATCTATTTAACTATCTATTTAACTATCTATCTGACTTATTGCATAAGTCAGATTGTATTGGTGAAAATGAATTATTTTATAATACAGCAATCAGTTCAGAAAAGTCTAAGCAACTGCTGTTCTAAGAATGAATAATACTTTGTCATAATACCTTTTCATCACTGAAATTCTTCATCTCACTTATATTTGCAAATGCATGTATAGTACTTGGAATTCAGACAAGAACTACTGGTGTATAAAATGACAGGGTTCTTCTGACGAGGTGTTGCATTAAAAATCGTATTTATGTGGGGGGAACTATGTAACTTATCTTGTATTTACGTACCTTCAGGATTTGTGCGCAGCTGCTCCTTGTTAATTTAAAAGGCAGCCACAAGACATGATCTTTCTTAAATAAGTGTTCCTTTGTTTTTGTGAATAACAAACAGAGTTCTGCAAATCTCTATAACATGTGTTTGGCAAATTACACAAATGCATGATTAGTACTATGGAAGTATTCAGAAGAGCAGAATATAGGGCACTGTAATTTCGTACTGCCAAACCAGGAGTTCAAAAATCATGAGTCAGATATCTGAAAATTATAAACCTAGTTTAAAATTATGAGCTTAAAAAACATATGTGGCTTTGTTCACCTTCTGGCTTGTTAATCTTTAGCATATGTTCAGATTACACTTTTAGGATTTTCCATGGAATTAGCAGGTCTAATTTTTTTTTAATACATAAAATAGCTGATTACACCATCTCACAACTGAAACCAGGCTGCCGCAGGTTGATTAGACTCAATAAAATCATGGAAGTTGTCAACACTGATTAAACTACTGCTTGATGTTTCAAGGAATAATTATTTTATAATTAAGTGGTTTTAAAGCGCATTTATTTACAGAGACTTCTGACAGTTTGCTGAGGCATGATTAAAAGCTGAGGTTAGTATCACTAGTGCTAACTAGATAAACTGGTGTGCTGTGCATTTAAGGGAGTCAGTTCCTTATTCCTTCCTGTAACTGCAGCCTCCTTTTTTTGCAGTCAATCCCAGCTCTACTGACAGTCATAAGCAAGTGACTTTAAAGCAGAAAGTTTGCAAGTAATCACAGAATCAGATCAGAAAAGGACCTCAATAGGTCACTTAGTCTCATTTTGTGTTTAACCAAAATCTCCTTTCTTGCAATTTAAGGCAATTATTTTTATTCATATTGACTGTGGATATGAGAAACAGTTGTGCTGTTTCTCTTTGTAACCAGCTTTTACATATATGAAAATCATTGTGTTTTCCCTCCACCATCTCTTCTGTAAAATTGCTTAAAATCATTCAGCTTGTGCTCAAGGAAGAGTAGCTTTCTGTTTCCAGACATTCATTGCTTTCTTCTGGATTCTCTGCATGCACCCTGTATCTTAGTTTTCAAGTGCTATGATCAAAACTGGAGACATCACCAGCTCATGCCTTTGTGATTCTGGAGGAGCAGATTTATACCCCAGTTTAGACATTTCAGTTTTTACCTTTTTTTTGCAACAGCAGGATGCTGCAGACTCATTTTCAGAATTGATTGAGAATAACCCATCAATTCTTTTCCAGGGAAATTGAGAAGGTAGATTTAGTTTGGATTTAAGGAAGAAATTCTTCACTATGAGGGTGGGGAGGCCCTGGCACAGGTCACCCAGAGAAGCTGTGGCTGCCCCATTCCTGGAAGTGTTCAAGGCCAGGTTGGATGGGGCTTGGAGCAACCTGGTCTAGTGGAAGGTGTCCCTGCCCATGGCAGGGGGTCATTAAGGTCTCTTCCAACCCAAATCATTCTGTGATTCTAAGCAATTAAGCCCCTGTTCCTTTACTTGCACATCTTATAATTTCAGCTTGCACTTGTTCCTATTAAATAGTATCTTACGTTTTCAGATCACCAGGATTATTTTGAATTCTAATCTTGTCTTTTAATGTACTTGAATTCTGCTTGGTCTTGTTGGAAGATATTAAAAGGATATTCTATATAGTCCAGGGGGTGAATAAAGGAAACCGAGAATTTTATCTAGAACTGCTGTGATGGGGTTAAAACAATAATTGTTGGCAGTAACTGTAAAACTGGAAAATGATGATAAATCTTAAACAAGGGAAACAGTGTATTGTAAACACAGACAAAGACCAATACTTCATACTCAGATCAATACAGTGGGATTAATCTCTCAGATTTACTTAAACGCTTAGTGTGAAGAATTTGCATAATAATTGAACTGTAGCAGGGCTATAAATTTTTCTTATTTTTTTATTCCTAAGATTATTTGATTTTTATTCATCTCTGTTTTCCCTCGTCATTAGCAGGTGAATGGGAAAAACACAGGAGCAGATGAAGCAGGCAGTAACTGGAACTTCACTCTGTTGCCAGGACTGTTATAAACTCAGGTATAAGATGGAATTAAATGAGAATAATAAGCAGATTTGTAAGATTATTTTATTAAAGATACTGTAGCAAAGCACAGAATAAGCTTTAAAGATTATGAAAACTAACTTGGAATGTCTTTACTGATACTCTACATAGACTACAAGTAATTGCTGAGTTACAGAACAGTCACAGCCTGTTCTAGGTGTCCTACACTTTGTATACTGTTGAAGGCCTATCTTTAGGTGGTGCTATAATATTCCCTTCTCTCCTCTGCTTCGTGGTGGTCCTACCATGCAGGTCCTTTCTGTTCTCTATGGAAAGGACATCCCATTTTCATTTAGATTTCCCAGCTATATTGTGCCTTCTCACTATAGAGTCCCCAATGGTATCTGGCTTTGCCCAGATATTCAGTCTTCCCCTTTGCTCCATAAAGCCACTAGGACAGAAGTGTCAGCATTCCAATACTGCACTGAAGGCTTTTAAAATGCCTGTATTAATGTTTAAGATGTTATGTGTTAATAGAGCTGATGCCTTCAACATCTGTATGCTGAAACTTTGGGGCTATGTAATTAGATTAAGCAACCACATTCAAAGATACCTGAACATCTTTTCTTGCATTTGTATAGCAACTTTATAAACTATAAAAGAGTAAATCAAGCACAGACACATGCCCTATACAAGCTGCAATACAGACAATATTGTACACACTTTGTAACAACAGTAATGAAAATGATGCCAAATATAAATAAAATTATAGACAGACTCTTCTTGAGATAACAGTTATAGTGAACAATGAAACATCCTTTTATAATCATGAGTAGAATTAATAAGATGCGTAACTACAGCAGAATATAATCAGCATGTTTAGTCTGCTTACATGTCTTAATTTGATCCACTGTTGTTTGGGGGAAGCAAAAGAAATTAATATTTTTCTAATCCATGCTTGCCCTAAGTTGAAACATTTACTGCCTTAGTGGTCTTTTTGTTAGGTTTGGGAGTTTTTCCCCCATTAATTTAGCTGGAAACATTAGGATTCCTAAGATGTTCAAATCTGAACATGAATGCCTGATTCTCCTCTTCAAGCCAGCTTTTGCAAGGCTTAGATGCAGAACAAGGTGCACCCTGTGCCCTATGAAGATTATTTCACATTTATTCATCTCCTTGTTGGTAAAAACTTCTCACCATTCTTGTAATAAGACCAGAGCACCATTTCTTTACTTTCCACATACAAGCACTGTGCTTCGTGGAAGGTCCTCTTCAGCTTGCAAATGATGATCATGGCAGCAGGGGGAATCAGGTCAGTTGGATCTCTCTCACCATCCTGTCCTTCCTCAGGGCCCCCCTGTCCTCAGTTTTTAAGATTTTTTTTTCACCTTGTACTCTTTTCTTTTTCTCTTTTTTTTTTTAACACTTGATAGTTTAGCATTGTACATGAGTATACACTTGTAATGTTTAAACTAAAAAATCTAAACAGTTTTTGACAGCAGCTCTAAGAAGCCTCATTTCAGAAAAGGAGCACTCCAGCACATGAATAGCAAATTCTGCAAACTCATTTCAGTGCAGCCCTGAACACCTGGCATCTGCCTCTTTTGGCTGTCTGCTCCAGGAAAGACTTCAAATTTGTTTGTAACAGGTGTAAATAAGAGTCACAAGAAAGTAAGTTTTATAATACAGAGAAGAGTCCAAAACAACTTTTACTGCATGTTCTAATTTGACTGCTTTGGTGCCTTTTGCGACTGCTGCAGTGTGTCAAAAAAGCAAAGGTGGTGCCAACTCAGATCTGGCACACGTGGTTCTGAGTTTTATGAAATCTTTTGACGACCAGTTCTTCCTCATGTCTTCTTCAAACCTGGTTCTCTCAGTTGTTCAGAAGCTTAGAAGTCCCTATTTCACTACTGCCATGCAGAAAAGAAATGCAAGAAAAATATTAAAAGTCAGAAGCCCACACTGCAGTACTGTATTTGCTAGCACGATGTGGTCCCTCCCACCTCACCATGTGTGGTTTTACTCTAAATACCCATCCTTCAGTTATATTCAGAGCACCCACCACAGTCAGGAGCTCTTTTTAAATGCCATACAGTTCATTTCCTTCAACCCCTACCCCACCAAAACACAGCCTTAAACAATGTTGTGATATTGTTTCAGAAACTTGTTTGTTTCTTTCTCCTTTGCCTTCCATTTTCAAAACAGCTAAAGATTTGCTGAAGAAAACCTTCATTTCCCAAACCTCACAGAAGTTATTTTTGATACTGTGTGTGTTACTTTCCAGCAGTGGTTTATGGCTTGGCTTAGTGGATGCTCAAAAAAATTGCACGAGTATAATTTCCCTTAAGCCTGGACTTCTCATAGCTTGAAACGTGCTCACTCTGGAATACTTCTTACTGCTTCATATTTGCCTTTATTTTTGGTTGTGGGTTTTTTTTCCCTTGCCTAACTCAGAGATAACTGCTATGTATTTACTTAGCCCCCTTCCTCAAATTCTTATTTTAGGTTAAAAGCAGATAAATTATACAAGTATTTAAAATTTCTGTCCCTTTCGACCAAAATATTTTATGACAAATATGAGCAGCTTTGTATCCCATACGAACAAACAAGATATTGGAAATGCATGAATGTAACTTTTGAGGACATGAGGGTTTTTTTGGTACACTTTTTTTCTCTGGATATGTAAATCACAATTGTACAAAGTATATGACTGTTCCACTTCTAATTTACACTTGATGTTTCTATGCACACTGTGGTACTCCTGGACCAAGTGGTTATGTCTACACTGCAGAGCAGGGCAGGCTTCAAGGCTGCACATGAAGCCGGGTTTATCGGCTCTCTGCATTACTTACCTGCCAGAGCATCCTCAAGGCCAGCTCAGGGCTGAATTTCCTGGCACACCTTTGAGGGGAAAGCCTGCAGAGTAGTGCTCCACACTTGGTGTGCACTGCAGGGAGCCCCGTGTGACACATGGCCAGGCCCTCACCCACAGCATGTGCCAGGCCCAGGCTGCTCTGTGTGTTCTATCTGCCCTCTGTGCCATGTCACACACTTGGTGGTGGGCAAAAAAGCAAACTGGGACAAAAGGCTTTTGTTGCCTGCAATGAGGGTGATGTCAATGGGGGAAGCAGGCCTTGGGCAAACTACTGCTGTCAAAGTACTGCTGGTTCTGGTGGCAAATCCATTTGTCTACCTAACACGTTCTTAAAATCTTGGAGGGGAATTCACTGGGTCAATGCTGTTATCGCAAAGTAGCTCTTATATAACTTGCTCAAAAGCCAGGAAGTACTTCTTTTCTTTGTAAACTAACGAAGGAGAAAAGCCATTCTAACTACTGTATGCATGTGAGCATTATTTTTCCCCGGGCAACATCAGTGTTTAGCATTGCTGTTTATTAGGATGCCGGGCTGCATTTTGCAGTCAAAGATCTCTGTTACTTGCAGATCACACACAGCTCACGCACACGACTGAACTTCATTACACCACCACCCTCAGACACATTGACTGTGCTGTGTGGGACCACCTCTGAGTGCGGGAAGGTGGGCTGCCTGTGAATATTAAATATTTTTCCAATGAGACTGCAAAATGCTGCTAATCAGTGCCAACTGCGGTGGGGTGGGGTGGTGAGCACACAGAGCTGCTGGCACTGCCGACAGCTTGCAGCCCACAGCAAGACAGATTAGAGGTAAAACGTTGTGCCCTCCTCGCAGGCTCTAAAATCCCCCAGCTGTCCTAAGAACGGAAGCTGTTTTGGGGATTCACAGCTGTGTGAGGATCAGCTTCACCCTCCTCTCAGCAAGCGGAAACGTTCGAGCCTTTGGAAATGGGAACATGCGCGTTCCCAGCGAGCCACGAGATGGCACCCACAGCCCCATTCCCCGTATCCCTGAACATCTGCAGAATTCCAGCCCTTCGGAGAGGTTACAGAGGATGCAGCTCCTTCCACTTCATCAAAGTCGGAGGAAGCCTGTGATTAGCTGGATGTTTACAAATAAAAGGAGGATCTGGAGACAGATCAAAGAGAACTCTCCAGATTTGGCACAGATACCATATACTTGTGCAAACAGCATCTGCATGGGTTCAACTGTTACATGAAGTGGCTGAACTTGGTGTATCTCATCATATATTAAAAATGCTTTTTAATGCTTAGTGCATTTATTAGAAGTCTGAAGAGTCAGCCAGCTAAGGATCTGACAAAAACAAAAAAACAACACCTCCCAGCTAACAAGATCTTACAGACTCCATTTAAGAGAAGCACCCACTGGGTTCTTCCTCACCCTCTTTCTGCAGTGTAAAGGGAATCAAAAAGCAAAGCACTGTTCCAAAATCCAAAGGATGTAGTACTTCAGACTCAGTAAACAGGAGCAGTAGCACTCAAAGCCTGTTCTCCAGCAATCTAAGTAGTTTGGCTGGCCCAATCACACGATATATGCTCTTCCCTGGAAAGTCTATAGTTCATCCAGGATCTGAGTTACTTTGGCACAGCCCAAATGACGGGGGAGAGAAGCAGATGGGAGATAAAAGATGTGGTGTGTGAACTACACTAAGTTAATGTATATCTGTTCTAAGGGACATCTTTGTTTTGACTCTGTGTAACAAACCAACATAGTTTGTGAGGTCTGGAAGGCCACACTAGACTATTCCTACTTTCATAGTAGTGCTCTGTTTGAAGTTGGTATTTCTATTTGGGGTCTAAAGCCACACTGAACTTGATCAAATAAACATTCTCCAAAGGAAACTGCCTTTGAACTATTTAACTCTTTGTACAGCAAACTAAAGCTGAAAGAACTGTAACAATCACTGTCAGATCTCTTGTGTCTTAGAGCTGAGTTGTTTTCCAGTTTTTAGTTACTGTTCATCAGGACCTGTGTCTTTTCTGGCAGAACTGACTGTGGTAGCAACAGTCACTAAAATCTGAGTGAAACACAACCCTGCCTGAAAGCAGACTAGATGGGGTTAACCCTCAGACTTGCAGGCATGCAGACTGTGTCATATTTTACGGCATATGTAAGTGTACACAACTTCTATTTAATCTACCTGATAACAACGCAGCACAGATATCTGAGCTCTCTCCTGGGCTGTGGGGCATACTAAGACAATTCCTTCATCAGCTCCAAGGGATCCTACCCTGTATTTCCTCTTCCTCCAGTGCTACTGTATTTATCCTTTTCCCAAAGGAGGGATATTTTAGATTCTGTCTCTTAAAATATCTCTGCTTTGCATAATGGCTAGAGAACCTCAACAGTTCGGTAGCTGGGACTCTCTACCAGCAGGTACCAGTAGGAAACCCATAGGGAGGAAGGGAACAGAGGCATCATCTTTAGCATCTTGAATAAATGCTCTAACGACGACTTGTGTAAAAGGGAGGAGCGTAACCGATACCAGAAGTCTGGGTATCTGCTGCCAAAACCAAAAGCAATCTATGGTATTCAGCAAACTCTATTTTTAGCCAGCGTATCTGCATTTCCACAAACTTTCATGGTCTTTGTGGCTTTTGCCATGGAGAGAAGGACCTTATGTTATTTCTCCCATTCATTTTCTGGGGAGTCAGAAGCAGAAGTCCCACTGGTGACCATCCGCAATGTAGTGGGATGGTTACCTAAAAAGGAGAGAACAGGTATTACTGAGTTGTGTAGGTTCAACTGAACAGGTGAGAACTATTAGAAAAGGCAAGTTCTTAGCCCTAGTCATTGCTTTAAAACAGGAAGAACGCAAAGCTTCCCATTACAAAAAAAAAAAAAGAAAAACAAAAAAAAAAACCAGAAGGCAGATAGAAGAGTCAAAAGGATGAATTTTTAAAAGAGCAACCTTGTCATCAGGGGAGATGGGGGAGAAGAGAGGGCGAAAGACTGAGTTTTGCATCTTTCACGTTGGCAACACTGCTGCTGCAGAGACCTTGGCAATGGCTGGCGCTGGTGGCACTTTGCCTGACAGACAAGTTGAGAAACCAAGGATTTACAACAGTCCTGATTTCCAGTGGATTTCCTACAATCCACACAGCTTCCAGGATTTGGAGGCCTTTAAGGAATGCTCTCTTCTCACTGCCTGTCAGGAGTCTTGCAATATCGACAGAACCACAAGACACACTTATCTAAGATCATGTCTTATTTGCAAACAAAAAAAGTACACCCCAAAATCTCATTGATGCAAATCACAGTTGAGTTGGAGTGAAAACAACAGCAGCAACAGGACTTTGTCAAAGAGGAAAATTCTTGAACTATTTTATTTTTTTTCTCCCACCGGGAAGTCTAGATGCAGCATTGTTGTTGCGGTTGTAGCTGCAGGAAGATTTATTATGGTTTTAGTAAGCCAGAAGGCACAGGAAAGGATTAAACCTTTTCATTTTTCTGCAAGGGAATCAAAGATATTGACCATGTCTGAACATCGAGGTTCTCGGGGTGAGGTGTGCCACGCTGGCTACACAAAGCAGACAGTTAAAACCTGGCCTTGGACCACCTGCTGATTTCTCATCTCATAATTTTATTATGTTCCCTTGAATACATTAATATGAAACTTTAAAAACATGTTTCCAACTACTCTTACATAGGGAATGTGAGTGAATTACTGAAAACAGTTTCTCTAAAAGCATGAGGCAAAGTATTGTTTTCCTGTGTCTTTAATTTAAAAAAACCCAACAGAATCCACCCTACAAGACATTTGAGAGCAAAAATAACTGAAACAAATATCTGATAGCTTTTCTCCTGTAAAATTGGCACTGGTCATTCAAGTATATAAAAAGGAACATGGGGCTGTTTGTTTCAGGGCTGAATATTTATAGTCACGATGAAGTGACTCCTGAGTCATGAGCTCTCTTGCCCTGTTACAAATTAAGATTTGTCTTTCTTCATGAAAAAAATAAAATCACAATTAATTCCAGAATTGTAGAAGCGACTATAAAAGTGGCAAAAGACACTTAATTTATAAAATGTGTGCTGATTTCTGCCATCTTTCCCCTACAAAATCTCAGCCTCCTCACATGTCTCAAGAATACACTGCACAGCAAAATTTTAGGAGTTTTCTGGAAGCTGGAAGAAAATACACAAAACTGGTTCATAGCCGAGAACTACAGAAATGTCAGCTTTTAAAAACATGTTCCTAATTTCTAGCCTTCAGCAGACTTTATAAAGTCAAATTAGTCATGCTTCATCTTGTAGGCTTCCAAGTCTGTGAGAAGCATCAAACCAACTGAGAACTAGGGAAGTCAGAAGATTTGATTTTTAGCCGTTTCAGATTAAGAAGTACTTAAAAGTCAGGAGCAGGCACACAGGGATAGTAACAGATACTGCCAGCATCTCCTTAATTCACACACGGAATTATCCTGAGCTTCCAGTATCAGACCAAAAATGAGATTACTTTCTCCCCTTACGAAAAGCAGTGAGGGACAGAGGGCAGCAGGAGAGCTCCACAGCTGCTCCTGGGCCCACAGCTGGAGGGCATGAAGGCCAGAGGAAGGTGGGAGCCGTTCCTGGTGTTTGGCCAGACAAGGGGCCCAGCTCATTCCTGGCCCCGGGCCAGGCCAACCACACAAACCCAGTGGCGCGGAGCACTGCACAGCCTGCTTCAAGGAGGACTGAGAAAGCTCCAGAGCATATTTGTGGGATGAGCTGAATGCAGGAAGGTTTCCAGTTCTCACGAAGAGGGCAGAAAGCAGAGATGTGTCTCATTTGTAAGAAGCTGGGCTGCCTTTTTCCTTATCAGGAAACAGGACACGAATGTAAGAGTTCAGCTTCCCCAAGGATGCTTGGGGGAGACAGAGACCGAGTTAAACTCAGGACAAACTTTGAGTTCTGGTACAGCTTGTTTAAGCAAACGAGCCCCCTCCCAGCCACTCATTCCTCCCCTCATGCCACCCCTTCTATTGTGCTTGCACAAGATCTGACACAGAGATGGAGAGGGAAGCACAGCGGGAAACTGGTCCAGCCAAAGAACAGCCCCATAGGGAATAAAAAAAAGCCCATTTTTTGATTCAGTTCATTGTGAAGCGACATAAATACGTGCTTTTTTACAATGGAGAGGGTGGCACACAGGGGATATGAGAGCTGAAACTAATGGGGAGGAAGAAGAGGCTGCCAGGGCTCAAGGTGGCACTGCCTCCAGGAGCAAACTCAGGTCCTCAGCAATAGCTGAGACTCTTGATGGTTTTGCACTAGAGTATTCAAATGCAATGCTGTAGTCAAACTTTTCACATTTATAACAATGTATTTTTAATATATTCTCCAGGGCAGTACATTTTCTGTCTTCAGCTTTGATTAAAAAATATGCTGACTTGTATTTTCACCATCAACTGAAAATATTAAAAAGGGAAGAGCCCTAATAAAAGCCTCAATTCTTAGAATTCTGTGATGTTCTAATCTATTCAAATCAAGATTTCTCCACAGACCTGGCTACAAATATCATTATACACAAAAGTAAATACTATTTGAACCAAGAAGTTGCCAACAAGCATTTACAAGTATATATATATTAACAGTTGAAAAATCTCCTCTGAAACTGAGAAAGAAGTGCAACAGCTTTTGTTATATTTTAAAGCTCATTCTAGGTCTTTGCTAACTCCCTTTTTTTACCTTTCAGTAAATCCTGAAAACTAAGAGCTAGGCTGGATACTTATAAATTATTTTCAGGGTTGCAACCCACACCACTGCCAAAATGAGAAAAACAACAGAACAGAGAGAAGGCCTCCAAAAATAAGAAAAGCAAATCACTTAAAAATATAAGTTAGAGAACCCAGCAAATCTTTCTTTCTGGCTATGCCTTGTGCAATGTGATACACTTACACCTCCAGTTTTAAAGATCCTTAACTGCTTTAACACTCTAACACTCCCCATAGTGCACTAAGGAGATGCAAAGGAACAATGTTATGTGACCGAAAAGTACAAATTAGAGGAAACAGAACTCTCAATGAAATATTTTTGCTTCCCCTTCAAGTAACAGCAAAACTTCCAGGATATTGTAACTGCTGTTGGTTTTTTTTTTTTCATGTCTGTTTTCATTCTGTCTCCACATTAAATCATTTTTATCATGGTAGGAGCATTGAAACACCATCGCTTCACTCTCCTGAGGATGCTGTCCCCATTCTGGGAAGAACACTCAGGACTGGCCAGCCCAAGGCTGCCTCAGCACCCAGGCCTTCTCCCCGTTCACAGCAGCCGAATTCCTTCTGTCACTCCCAGCCTTTTCTTTTAACGCTGCCATTCTGTTCCCCTGCACACTTTTACATGTCACCTTAAACACTCTCCCTGTCCACTTGCAAGCCAGGCTGACTTGTTTATGCCTTAGTACCTTTGATTTCTTCTCCTATACTGCCCTTGATCACTTCTCAGGCTACTTCAGTCATTCTGATTTTCTCTGCCTACACATAAGTAGATCTGCTCCTAAACTTCCCTGCAGTGTAATTCATGCTCTTTTGTGAGCCTTAGTCTGGACATTCATACATGTGAACTCCAAGGTTTTGTTTCATTAGAACAGGGAAAAAACCATCAAGTTCAGTTGGAAAGGTTTAACAAACTGATTTTGTTACTGCAACACAGCTTATAACTGAAAACAAAGGTACTCCAGGGTGTTTATAAAGTTAGGTAGTTTACATAAATACCATCATTCCCAGTTCGTCCATTTAACTTCTGTAGTTGGCAGGTCTATTTACACTAGGAAGTCAACTTTTTTGGGAAACATTTCTGGGTCAAGTTCAGACCAATACACT